AGTTCATTCCTAAATAAATTATCGTTTGTCGCTCTCGTGTCGGGAATATATAAAATATATTATGTGTGATAATATATCGTATATATGATAACTGTGTACGCTAATGCTTACCGGCTATCTCTACGCTGCGTGTATATTATATATTATTAAATCGATTCGAAGGACGCGCGTATATATATTCGTATCGTTCGTCCGAAGGTTCAAGCGTTCGACTCGTGTCGTTCTCTAATCGTACGGATATATCGTATATGTATAAAGTTGCTAAGTTCGCTGAACGAGCCGCGGAACGCGGCCTCGAAACCAGGAACAATCTTTGGCTCGTTTGATAACGAGTGTCCGATTCGTTTTCGAACAGGGCTGTCGCGTAAAAATGGTCTTGCCGGAGGTGGTCGTTGCGATGTTGCGTTTCTCGCTGTTTAGCTACGCGTTTTATTCACATTAGTCTGATCTACGTCTACGCTGTTTCTTTTTTTTTTTTTTTCTTTCTTTTTTTTCTTTTTGCCGAAACGACAAACAAAACATTCGCGGAGCTATGGGAAATTGTTCTGCTTGATCGCAGAGTAGAGTGCGAGCGTTCGTCTCGTCTCCCTCTTCATCTAATTTCCTCCTCTCCCTCTTCGTTTCTCTCTCTTTTTTCTTTGTTTATTTTATGTTTGTCTTTCTTCGCTTACACTAAGGCAACTAACGAATAGTTAAAAAATTGTCAAGGCTCTCGTTGGAAGGATTACAAAACGCGACGCGTCCCGTCCGAATCGTTATTCCCCGTCTCGATTCTATCGACAAACGCGCCACCCTATATAACACGAACGACACTGTCTCGAAACGAGAGTCTCGTTCTTAAAAACGCAGAAATTGGTGTTAGCTTTTGGCATTGAAAGTCATCCTCTCTTTCTCTCTCTCTCTCTCTCTCTCTCTCTCTCTCTCTCTCTCTCTCTCTCTTTCTTACATAAAACCATAAACTATACGAGTAAAACGAGCGACGAGATAACGAATGTGTTCCCACCAGTGTGTGTTCGTGTTTCTTGCTCGCCCGTCAGTCTGACGAGACAAGAACTTCGCTAAACGTTGCTTCTGTGTTCCGCCTGCTCTCATCGACACTGTTCGTTCGACTGTTAAATCACTGCAGCGAAGATCGAGACGTAGCCTTAGCAATCAGAGGAGAGGATTGTTGCGAAAGTTTGTCCCAAGTTTTGGAGACGAAGTTTTGGAGAGTTGCTAGCGACAGAGCGGAGTGTCTTTGATCGTGGCGAGAGTTTTCATTTCATGAACGCCTTGTAATACCTTTTATTATTATTACCGATGTCTTTCAAAACCTCCCCATGGACAGTACGAAAGAGTTCACGCGGTAAAGTTCGTCGAGTCGTCCTCGAATTCTCCGTGATATTTCCAATTGAAATTGAACCGAGTAGAAGTATTTTTCGGGGCACCCCGTTGATTCATAACCCGGCCCTTCTCTTCGGTTTGGCAATCGAAATCCAATTAATTCGACCGCGTTGGGCAAACAGCGATTCCGAAAATCGAGAACAATCCGTATCCAAAGCGGACTCTTGGCGATCGAGTGGATCGCTAGGTGAGCAAATTGAATTTAATTGCCGGATTCGCGCGATCGTGAAAGACTTTTTTATGCTTTGTACAATGATGTATTTAACTGTTGCGCAACTATAGTTGCACGACAACTGACGCGATAGCTGATGTCTTAACCACTTGCGCTGGCAACTGATTGCGGACCATAACGAGTGACCAAAACCGTATGGAATAATTCGTCGCTTTCTGTTTGAACTCGTCGGTATGATCACTGGATAAAAATTATTCAGAATAAATTTATTATTATGGGTTATACTTAAGTATACTATATATGGATGTTATTAATAATATTGAATATATTATTATTAATATTATTAATAATATTAAATATATTAATATTAATATTATTAATGATATTAAATATACTATATTAATATTACACTTATATTAATTTATTTATTATGGATTATACTTAAATATACATAGAACTGAGAAAATATTGCAATTTTGGGACAAAAAATTCTCGACATGCGTAACACGTCGTTCCAGCGCAAGAGGTTAACCACTTGCGCTGGCAACTGATTGCGGACCATAACGAGTGACCGAACCGTATACAATACAATTCGTCGCTTTCTTTTCGAACTTGTCGGTACGATCACTGAGTAGAAATTATTGAGAATAAATTTATTATTTGTTTTGCCTTAAAACTGAGGAAATATTGCAATTTTGGGACAAAGGATTCTCGACGTGCGTTACGTTCCAGCGCAAGAAGTTAGAAACAACCAATGGGTTTCGTTTTGCATTCGTTTAGGGATGTGTGTTTATTTCGATTTACGATTTAAAGAAGACGAAGGAGATGGACGACACGACGATTGCTCAGAGATGAGCTTCCCCGATTGAAGGGGCAATGGCTGGTTGAAGATTCTGGATTGATCACCGATCAACAAAGTCAACACTCGAGGGAGACAGGAAATAGACACGGCGAAGATCTCTAGCCGGTAGATAGAAATTCACGAAAGCGCACAGACACTCGAGACACGAGCGGAAAGAATAGCACGGACAGTCGAGGAGAAAGCTGGAAGCAGCGACAATTTTTGAAAGGCTCCCGATCGTTTCGTTTCCCGTTTCATTTCGATTCTGATCTGTAAAGAACGATCAGAGACACTGATTTGGCGGATAGTGTCGTTTGTGTTGCAGCGCTGTTCGCGCAAATTTTTTTTTTTTTTCTATTTCAAAATCCACCACGAGAATTTTCATTTTCAATCAAGTTTCAATCAGACGAGACACTCTGATATACACGTTTCCAAGTGTCTACGTACGTCGCTGTTCCAGCGAATAGAATTGCACGGTGTTCCGATCGAGCAGCGCTAAACGTAAATAGTGCGAAAAGCGAGAAGCGATTGATACATAGTTAAAGCGAAGAATGTTCGCTCTAATCGGAGGAAGATTAGACTAATTAGAATTACGCGATAGATTTATCTAATTACAGTAGTTTCGTGTTCGTGCGTACGTGTAAATGTCCTCTCCTTAAACGTAGCTTAGGAAATCTTTACTTTTGTATACGTATGTATATATATATGTATGCGTTATATATTTTACGCAATGTATAGATAATATATAGATACGTATATGTATGTACAGAATATATTGTTTGAGAGATACGCGCTTTCTTTTTCATTTGACTGGCCAAGACGAGTAAGATCTTGTTGGAAAGGGGGAAGAAAGATTGATTGGAAAGTTGCTACTTTTTGCCAGAAACGATGTTGTCGTTTCTGGGAAAAAAAAAAAAAAAAGAAGAATCTCTACCTTGCTGAAAACTCGTCGAATCAATTCTTCTTTTTAATCGTTGAATCGCGTTTCTCTTTTTTTTTTTTNTTTTTAATAATTGAATATCGATGCGCGACACGGAACACGCGACGTGCAACAATGTCTGTCATCCTTCGTTCCCGCGAGAAAAGAAATACTGTTACGCAAGCTGTGAACTAATCCGTTGAAGCGCGTTTCATTCGATTATCAGGCTCCACTTCCGGTTTCATCGGCCGTGCCTAAAAAACACGTCGAAGCGAAATATTCTTCTTCTTCTTTTTCTTCTTCTTCGAGAAATCGTGAAAATCTTTGCCAAAGAAATTCTTCTTTCCGCGTGTTTATCGATTTCTCGAGAATTAACAAGTAATTTGAGAAACAAGTTTCCTTCGAGAAATTGTTCTTTCCGCGCCTGTTTGAAGAAAATACGGTTTATTGCTGTTCAACGCGGCGATTGACGCGTTCTCGTCGAGAAAAAGAAAAAAAAAAAAAAAAAAGAAAAAAGAAGGAAAAACAGTCCTCTCGGCTAGAAGAGACAGATTAACGATTATTTCTCGCGACGTGGCAATAACGCCAGGAGGCAGAACAGAGCGGGGAGGGGAAGGTGGAAAACAGAGGCCGAATTTTCCACGGGCAAGGCGGAAAAGAACTCTTAATTAGTTCGAGAATCGCTTTCGCCCGTTAATAACGCCGTGAAGTTACGACAAACGTGAAATGGTCTCGCTGGCTGGTCAATTAAAATAGTTTAATTGTCCGTGAGACTTTCGTAACGAACCGGCGCAATTCCCCGGTAACGAACTCCCGGGGGGGCTCTCCGAATATTTGCATCCACCGCCCAATTTTTTTTTTTTTTTTTCTGCTCTCTCCCCAGCCCTATCGTCGACCAATCTAATTGGAGATCGGCCGACTTTGGTTTGCTTTAATCGCTCGAATCCAGCGAAAAAGGGAAAGGAAAGGAAGAAAGAAGAAATTGCGAACAGTGGACAGGGGAAAAAGTATACATCTGTCTCCAGGTGTTTCGTGTTTCTCAATCCTCGTGGTTGTTGAATTTCCTTTTTCTTTTTTTTTTTTTCTTTTTCTTTCTCTCTTCAAAGAAAACCGCGGAAATAAATATCGTCACCCTACACCGATCTCGTACAATTATCAAAAATATGAAAATAATTCAAGCTTACCGCTAGAAACGTCGTACACTTGTCGCGCTTGTTTCGAAAAAATATCTTTCTCCCCGACGTCGTAACGCACACAGAGAGAGGATATACAAAAATACATTGCTCTCGAAAACAGCCTTCTGGCCCGGAGCCTTTTCGATCGTGGCCGCGAAATAAAAGCTTCCAGATTATTAGGCCACGAGCGCGTCGTTAGTTCTCCCAGCGTCTGGCTCGAGCCGGAACCTCGCGATTTCCGCGCGTTTGCGCGCGATCGCCACGCTCCAGAAGTCTAATTATCGTCGTGCAATCATCGCCGCGTGCACGCGAGTCGCGGCACGTGGATTAGAAGCAGCCATACGTGTTCCGAGGACGCGCAATTCTTGCCACGCCACGAACCGTCCGTTTTCGACCCGCGGCGATCGCGGGAAAGTAGAGAGACAAATAAAGATGGAGAAATTGCGCGCGTGCTTGTTTTCTTTTGGCGTTTATTCCCTTTCCTTTTTTTTTTTTCTTTTTTTCTTTCTTCTCTTATCGCGCGATGCGTTTGTAACGATCATCGATCGCCGTGTCGGCAACAATAAGATTACAAATCGCGATGAGTGACGGAACAGAGAACGGTTACGCGTAACAGTATTATCACCAGTGACAATATGACCGTGATCGGCTATACGTATTAACAATAACAGCAACGCAATAATAAAGGGCGAACCGATATATAAGGATAAATAAAAATACACGGTGTTAATAATAATAATAATAATAGTAATAATAATAAATATAATAGATAGCGATGACAATAATAAATACGATAAAGCTGCAAGCATTAATAATAATAATAATAATAATAATAATAATAATAATACTGTTAACAATTCGCAGAAAAATAAATATTACACGTAATCAAGAACAATGAAATTAGTAGCTAAAAACCGAGAGACGATTGCTGCTGGTGATCAAAGATTCCCCAAGGTCGAAAGCAAAGTGGAGGAACCGGAAATGAGCTTGATCGACGATCGTACGAGATCGCTCCCCTTTCGTCCTGAGTTGTTTCTCCGTTTCATTTTATTTTCTCTATTTTTTTCCCTTCCTTTTTCACTATTTCTCCTCGCGCACAAACCGTTTCATCCGTTCCTTTTTCGATCGACCGAATCAACAAACACGCGTCAAACGGTGCACTTGGTTAATTCTTCACGTTTCTTCTTCTTCTTTTTTTTTTTTTTTGCTTTTTTCTTTTTTTTTCTTTGTTAAATTGTCTCTGCTCTCTACCCGTTCCTAATTTCATTTTACATCGTTTCTCGTTAATCAACTCGTTAATTCATTAGTATTGCTTAGGATTTTATTGCTCTATGTATCGGTGCACGCGGTGCACAGCATTCTGGAGAAAACTCCGGAGACAAACGTCACCGTGCGCGAACGTGGCGAGGGCGGGGGGCTAGAAAAGAAGCGTTCGGGGTCGATCGATCTTTCGTCGATCTTTCGGCCAAGTTGGATCCCGGCCAAGATAACGAAAGATCACTGTCGTTTGCTTCTAAAAAGGTCCCTAGGGTCTAACTAGGGGAGTCCAACGGCCAGCGTACGAGCGCTACGCGAAAACACAAAGTATAGTACGTAAGACGCGTGTATAATGTGTATTTCTGTTCTCTCATTTTTTTTCTCTCTCTTTCTCTCGCGATTAATCTTCTTCTCTTTTTTTTTCACTTTTGCCTAGTTTTTTTTTTCTTTTTTTTTTTTACTGTTTTGGCGGTGAGGTCGGCTACTCTGTACATGCAACGCGGTAATTATTTGTCGGCAATAATTATTACAAAAGGACTCGTTGGACCGTCGCGCCAGCTCTTCCCGAAACTGGCACTGATCCACGCTCTTCTTTGTTCTCTCGCGATCGTGTTTCGCCTGTATTTCCTCTTTTTCTGTTTTGTTTTCTTCTCTGTACTTTTCCTCTTCCCTTTTTACTTTCTTTGTTCAGATTCTTTCTTTCTTTCTTTCTTTTTTTTTTTCTTTTTTTTTGTAATTCTCCCGGGAATAATTCGGCGCGCATGTAAATCGTTGCATTCGCAGGGCGGGCGAAAGTTGGTCGAATGAAGCGGGGATCGGATTTTTTTCTTTTTCCAGCCGGATTTCGCCGTCGCTCCCCCTTCGTTGTCACGAAATACTCGTACTCGTACTACTTTTTTCTCCACTTACGAATCGCAGTGTAGCTCCAGGAGAGAGCTTCAAAAGTTTTTCAAAAGTTTTCACGACGAAACACTTCCGACGATCACGAATTTCGATGTTGCGTTGCTCGTAGAATCGAAATTTTTTATACATCCTACTAACTCTACTCGTTTACTCTTTTCTCTCTCTTCTTTTTCGGAGCAAAGGTCGTTGTTCGTTATATAAAATATGCTTAAAAGGAATTTTCTTTTTTTAACAACTACGTTGGTGTTCCGCTCGTTGCACGAAGCTTACTTAATTATATAGGGGGTTATCGTTGAGAAAAATATCAGAAGCTAATCAAGCCGTACGAAGCGCGTGCCTCGTCGTCGAAAGGCAAACCGCGAAGCCACTGATTGCTCGATCGCTCCCATCGATCGAACCGATAAATAGTCCGATCCAGCTCCTTCTTAATCGAGATCTTAAGACGCGGGAGCGACGCTTGTTCGTTGAAGGTGAACGGTTCGTTAGAAAATATTGCTTTGAAGGACGGGGGGGAACGGCGATGAATTTTCCTTCGCGAGGAATCCGGCCAGCGGTGGCGCCAATTTCGAAACGTGGATCGCGAGACACGGAAGAGCGTGGTTTAGGTTGGGTTCAGACGATCGAAGAATTGTCTGCCGAAGTTTCCCATCACGTTCAACTTCGATGCTCGCCTCTAATATGTATAATTATATAATTCGTTGTGTCGAAACATTGCTTTTTGACCGTACGCGTCGTCATTATTACGTTTTCTTTTTTTTTTTTTTTCCTTACTCGTTATATTGCTTCTATAAAATATGTGTATAACAATGTTACGCATCTATTACTCGAATCTGCACTAAATATTACTTGCAACGCGCTTCGTGTGTCGTGTGTCTGTTGAGTGTGTGCAGGTGCGTGTGTGTGTGTGTATTTGTGTGTGTGTGTTTGTGTGTAGGCGTTTGGAATTTTATTTGATGTCGCGCGAGGAGCTTGCGTATAGCCGGTCGTGTAACGCCGTCGTGAAAATCATGGAAACACGGTTGGAAATATCGCAAATACGACGACCTCGGGGCAACTCGATCGATGCCCACGTGTCGTTAACACGTTCTATGCCACGAGCCACTCTCTCTCTCTCTCTCTTTTTTTTTCTTTGTTCCTTTTTTCTTCCACCCTTTTGCACGGCGAACAATGGCGTTCTTCTGCGACTAGGTGAAAATAACGACGTGACAATTGACAGAATTAAATATTTGAAAAGGCAGGAGTTCATCCTCGAAATGGCGAACTGTCATTCACGAGCGATTGAAATTCTGCGTGGCAACTGGAACGTGCTGAGGAAAATTGAAACGACCGACAGGGGACGAAACTTCCGGGATCTACTTTAGTTGGATTTAGTTTTACCTTAACAGAATGTTCGTCTTTCCAAATATTTATATTTTTTCGTTTGCTAATTTGTATTTTTGAAAAATGCATTTCCTCTATCGATGAGAGAACGTATCCGTTACGATTTATAACACTCAAATATCTCCTCATCCGTCGTTCAATTCCAGAAAAAAAAAAAACAAAACGCCCGTCAAGTGGTAAAACCTTTCTTCCTTTCCGGGAAAAATAAAACTGGTTACACGATCGAGTTATACACAATCTTCTCGCACGTCGTCCAAAGAACCGTGCAGGCCCGCACCGGCGCCCTCCATACTACGTACTATCGATCACTCGTGGATCGACCTGTGGTCTGGTGTAATCGTGGTATCTAACCGTGAAAAGGAGCCATCGGGAAAAGGAACATGGGCGAGGGTCGATCGCCTCGAGGCTCGATTCGGTGCTCTGCGGAAGAAACAGAGTGGTCCGGTCGTCACGACTGTGCGTTCCAACGAGCGACGAATCGATCCCTGGAACGCGATTCGATTCCCCGCGTGTGTATCACCACGATTGCGGTGATTCGGAGGACGAACGTCGATGCACGGTTTCGCGGGGGGAGGGGGAGAAAATGGTTTTTTAGGGAGAATCTCGGAAACCGGCCGGAAATCTCGTTGGCTCGTGGTTAAGTCGAGCGTTTTCTTTTCGATTAAAAAGAATTCGTTGCTGCGTCGAATTATTAATCGCCTCTTAATACCTTCGTTTTAACGATCGTTCATTGTTATCGTCGTTATTATCGTTATTATCGTGTGTGTGTATATATATATATATATATATATACATATATATGGTGCGTGTCCCCTTTGATCTGTTTGTATGTGTGTGTACGTGTGTAGATTTCTGCTTGAATCCTCGAAGAGTTTTTTTCTTTTTTTTCTTTTTTTTCTTTTTCCTTTTACTCGTTATCTCATTTTAGGCAGCTAAGTATCAATAAATAGTGTGTCTCCGTAACGAGCTCGCGACTAGAACCGTACGCGCTAGTAAATATACTATATATATAATAATAATATAATATAATATAATATATAATATAATAATATAATATCATAATGTATTAGGTATAATCGACTAGAGTGACTAGACTGCAGTGTGGACGTCACCGTTCGACGTGTTCTTTGTTCTCGTTTCCTTCGTCTCGCTTCTCTTCTTTCCCTATTTTTCTCTCTTTCTTTCTTTTTTTTTTTTTTTTCTTTTTCATCGTTTATATCCGTCGTCGTTTCATCTATCCTTCTCCTTCTTCTTTTCCTTTTTCTCTCATGCTCGTTTTTAAGACTTAACATTATTGGACGTTTTTATTAATGTTAGACATTATTTAAGAAACCGACACACTCCTATCAACCCCCTCCCCCACCCATCTCTCATTCTCTCTCTCTTTCTCTCTCTCTCTTTCTCTCTCTCTCTCTCCACTCTCTACCCATCTACCGTTCGGTTAACTTCTCTCTATTTATCCTCCATTCACTCTACTGGCACTTTTCTACTTAAAATCTACGGGCAAACCTTTATTCTTTCTCCCACTCTCCCACACTCCTCCTCTTCATCCCACCGTCAATCTCTTCTCCGTCAATCGATCTTACTTCCTCCGGTCGTCCCGGTTAGCCGGGCGTCGCTGGGAACGACCGCTAGCTCTCCCTGGCAGCGGTCTCTAGGGCGTCGAGACGCCTGGTCGTGGTCTTCCTGTCGTCGAAGCGCTGCTACAAACCACGATTGTTGCTCTGCTGGTGTTGCGTCGTCGCGTTGCTACCGTTGCCGGCAGCTTGCTGCGACGACGACGACGACGACGACGACGACGGCGGCGGCGGTGGCGGCGGCGGCGGCGGTGGCATCTCGTCGTCGCGTAGACAGGCGGACTCCAGATGTTTGTTGAGATAGGACTTGAGGGCGAAGGTCTTGTGGCATCTCGAGCACTCGTAGTTCTTGTCCGCGGAGTGGGTCTGCATGTGGGCGCGGAGATTCGACCGATCGGCGAACGCTTTGCCGCAGTGCGCGCAACCGTACGGCTTCTCGCCCGTGTGACTTCTCAGGTGGCCTTGCAGCAGCCACGGCCTGGAGAACATCTTGCCGCAGACGCCGCAGCTGTGGGCCAGCTTGTGGGTGAGCACGTGCATCGCCAAGGCCGGCATGCTCACGTACGCCTTGCCACAGTGAATGCACTTCTTCGCGGACTGTGAGTCGAGGCTACGGTGCGTCTGCTTGTGCCGGGACAGGTTCGACGACGTGGCGTACTGTTTGCCGCACTCCGTGCACGTGAACTTGGGCCTATCCGGCTGTGTGGCCTCCTTGTCGGGCACCGCCGCCCCATTCGTGTTTGCGTTTCGACGTTTCGACCGGCCGTCCGACACGAAGAACGCCTCGTACGTGTAGGCCACCGTCTTGCTGCTGCTGCTGCTGCTGCTGCCGCTGTCGAGCACGGAGAACACCGGTGATTTATAATAAATTCGATATCTCGCGTCTCGAGAGATTAGGTTAGGTTCTCGAGGTTTGGTGCTTGAGATTTATTATTACGAGCAACGTGTAACACCCATGCGACAGATTCGTGAATCAGATACACGCAACACCGAGAGTGAAACATACACCGACAAACACAGTCATTTATACGACATTATCCTCAACACGAAAGCATATTGCGACATCGACTTGCACAGTCACTCGTCCATGTATATATTGCTTTCACCCGAACGATTCAAGTATTACGATCAACATGTACACGTATGATCCCAAATGGGAGAAAAACTATCCATCTACCACAAAATCGGTAACGAAACACAGATATACTGTGCAAAGAGGAGAAGCCTCGAGCCTTCTCACCTCTGTACAGTATTTCTTTACATATATATATATATATATATAAAAGAAAAAAACCAATTCCACCCACTGGCGGCCATAAAAAGTTTTTTTCCACCCTGGATACTCACCCATCTCTCCCGGCGGAGCAGTTGCTGGCGTTTGCCTCCGCGGTGGCCGGCGACTGGGGCTGCGGGGTTTGCTCCTGTTGTCGCAGCTGGTTGGTTTGCGAGCTAGGCACCGGTACCAACACCGAGACAGGGATAGGCTGCGCGTTCGGCGCCGGCTGCAACTGTGTCGGCTGCAGCTGGCCGGTGGCCGTTGCAGGCGGCGGCGGTGGCGGCGGAGGCGGAGGAGGCGGCGGCTGCGGCGGCGGCGATAAAGTGTGAATGAAGACCGAGTGCGTGGGCGCAGCCGGGGACGCGCTCAGATCGAGGATCGCCTGCGCGGCCGACAGATCCTCCTCGGCCGACGTGCGGATCTCCGACGTCGGCTGGAGGCTGTACGGCCTGTAGATGTCCTTCTTCTTCGGGGGCAACGACAACGCCGTTCCAGTGCTGGTGAAACACATGGACAGGCTTTTCCTCGGCGGGAGGCTCAGCGAGGTGGACGACGACGACGGAGTTGTCGGAGTTGGGGCTGCTGGGTGTGGTTGGTGCAGGCCGGACCCGGTCACCACCGCGGCCAGCTCTTGAGGCGCGGCTGGTGGAGGCGGCGGTGATGGTACCACCGGTCGGGCCAGCTCCGCCGCTGAGCGCAGCGTCGCGTACTTGGGTGGTTCCTCGTGGTTGATCCACGACTCGTGCGTGTAACCTGCGGACACATTGGCGGTTCATTCAGTTAATAGGGCACTAGCAGGACGTAATGGCTAGTTGTAATGGCTATCGTGTCAGAGATCGGCTCGATCGGCTCCCGTAACTATTAATTTTCACGAAAGATACGTTCCGAGACTCCAACCAGCCAAGTTTTGAAATTTATTATTCTAGAAACTTGAACACGAGATGAGAACAAACAACGTTGGCCACTTGGTGCAGTGCAAGTCGTTTATTAAATTCTCGAGTGGTTATGCAACGTTGATGGTAACAGATCCGAATAATCGTTCCTGCCTCGGACACAACTTGTTCGATGATTCGACGATTTATTTCATCGATCGATTTCTTTTTTAATCTGCTTTCTCGAATGCCCGGGTAAGATGATTGTTTACATTTTCGCAATTTAGGGGCCGGTGCCGGATTATTGCGATGCAAATTATCGATACGGGATTATCGATTGAAATTATCAGTTTCGGCGTGTTGGTGCAGGTAACGAATTGGCTTAGTCACTGTCGGGGCTAAAATTAACACGGAATATTAAGTAATGAGGGATACACGGTCAATCAAACTTAATGGGAGGGAGGGGGGAGGGGAATTCGAAGCTGATTAGGGGCTGCTAATGAATAATGCAAATTGAAGGTTTCGCGTCTCGAAATGCGATCGAAACTCGTATCCGCTGGGGGTTCAACGAACTCCTTTCACCCTACCCGATTGTCCGACGAATAAAATCACTCGGTCGCTTAAGTCCGTTCGATAACATCTTTACATTGCGGAGAAAAAAATCATTGTCAAAAGGAGGAACGTCTATCTACGAAGGAACGACGAAAGTCGATTTTAAATCGAAGGGACTTGGATAAAGAATCAAATCTATTTCTGATACCTTACAATTCAAGGTTAAATAATGTTTCGATAAACACAATTTAGGTATCGGTTCATTGTCTCTTTCTACGCCGAAAAAGGGAAAGAACAATATTCGTTAAATTCTATATATACATTCGTTGCAACTGATACGATCAATGAAAATAATATTTCTGGGGATGATGGTGTTATAATGAAATATCCGTATTATCTGACTGGTCTGGCTCCAACTTGTTTCAGTCCATAATAAAACCACACATCGCGCGGTGCGGTTTCGTGCATTACGGATTCATAATTCCGCCATTTACAATTTACACGACTTCATAATTGTTTCATCATTTCCGAAACTCATCGTCCGCGTCCTTACACCGAGTGAAATCCCACGAAACAAAATTTCCCTTCTCGCAACCTGCGATCTCTTTAATTTCGCGGGACAACGCGAGAGAGGAATCTTTTTTTCAATTAACGTAAAAAAAAAAAAAGAAAAAAGAAACCAGCTTGCGATATTCTCGGCGCAACGGAAATTCCGTCCAGAGCGCGGTTGAAATTTCTTTTTATTCTTTTCCTTCTTTTTTTTTTTTTTTTTTTTTTTTTTAAAT